CCTCTCTCTCTCTCTACCTCTCTCTCTCTCTACCTCTCTCTCTCTCTACCTCTCTCTCTCTCTCTCTCACTCTCTCTCACTCTCTCTCTCTCTCTCTCTCTCAGTCTCTCTCTGACTGTTTCTCTGACTCTGTCTCTCTTCTCTTTCTGTCCTTTTGACTCTGTCCCTCTGATTCTGTCTGTCTGTCTCTCTGACTCTAGTCTCTCTTCTCTCTCTGTCCTGTCTCTCTCTCTTTGTCCTTCTGATTCTCTCTCTCTCTGTCTCTGTCTCTCTCCCTGTCTCTTCTTTCTGACTCTGTCTCTCTTCCTGTCTCTTCTTTCTGACTCTGTCTCTCTCCCTGTCTCTTCTTTCTGACTCTGTCTCTCTCTGACTCTCTCTTTCACTGTCACTTTATCTGACTCCATCTCCCTCTGACGCTGTCTCTCTGTCTTTCTCTGTTACTTTCTGACTCCGTCTCTCTTACTATGTGACTCTGATTCTGTAACTCTGACTCTGTCACTGTTTCTATCAACAGTAGCATGTCGATTCTAGTTCTATATACAGAGAACCTTCCCCATTCCTGTAATATCCCTGAAAAACAAAAATAATAATACTCCCGCTACTTATCTTTAACGATGGCTTGTATTGATTGACTAATTCGTATTTTCGGGCGCGACAACGGCTGTGGTCATTAATCCCGTAAGTGTAGTAGTCATTTCCTTCCTCGGGATCTTTCCCCCGCTGGATGGCAAGATCCCGCGCGGATCTACGTAGACATGTTGGGATTTCCCCAACCAGGTATCGCCCACCAGCGGGGAAACGTCAACACTGGGACACGTTTTATGTTCCTGACTGGTACCTCAACACTGTCGTTGAGTAGTGCATGTAAGTGTACGTGTTTAAGTAACAGGTGAGGATAGAACAGAGAAGGTAAGAAAAGATCGCACGGTCCACCGTTTTCAATATCGTTTTCATATCGTTTTCAAGAAGCTTTCTCGAATTACTACAAGATTTTATGACTGTATAATTATGGCACAAATGTCTTCAGCGCATGAGCTGAACGGTAACCGGAAACGGTAGACGAACGACGAACAACTCGAAGAATACCGCGGAAAATTAGGCACTGACATCGTTGCAGCGCGACAGTGCAGATGACCTTATGCAATCCTGATAAGAAAACATGCGCCGTGCAATTAGAAGTGAAAATATCTCGCCGCGGAAACATTTCATCTCTCGAATTGCTTGATAACCGGCGAGATTCATAACATTCAGATGGTAATAATGTGAGAAAATCAGAAAAAGAGATCTTGGCGCATTAAGATTTTTGCTTGAGAATCTAATGAAGGAAGTGTATGCCTTAGCACGTGGCAAAGTAAATAAAATTGCATAATATAAAATGTGTAGCCCCTCGGTCCGTATCATTCCCACGTGGAGGTGACTCACTGACGCAACACGGAAAACGACAAAGCGATTCCACAAAGAAATGTCTTGTTATCTATAGATTTAAAACCTTAAGGAATTCCGTTTGAAAAGAAATGTGAGCGTTTGAAAAGAAATGTGTTATGACTTGATCATGTTTAGTTATTTTGTTTTCTAAATACTAAATTTTAATAATATTTTTAAATTAATACAATGAACGCGTATTTGCCACCGTTCGTCCTTCTGCCGTCATGGATTAACCAAATGGATAACAATGGATAACCAAAAAATATGATTTGAACTGTTTTTGACGTTAAATAAATAAAAAAAATTATTAGGTTAAAGTATATTTACCGTAGTAACCAAAACCACAACCACTAGGCCAATACACAGACATGTAACCAGGGGCGTTCAGAAGCGGGAGGGAATCGGCAGCTGGGGCAACTTGCCTCATGACTTAATTGGGGCCCGATTTCATTTTTCATTCGAAGGAAATGAAAAATATATTGGGGGAGGAGGGAATTTTTTGTCTGAAATAAACGCCTCCGTCAAATATACTGCCTCAGGCTCCTGGCCTTTGGCTTGTAACACATGTATATAAATAAATGCGTGTTTATAACACTTTTTACAATATAAAGAGTTTTGTATCTGTATAATTTCCATCTTTTCATTATGCGGCGGCGATGGTGTAACGGTTATCGTATCGGGCTGTTATACCAAAGTTGGCGGGTTGAAACCCGAGCGAAGCCGTGGATTTTAAAGGGTGGAGGGGAAGTAAAGCCGGCTGTCCCATGTTAGTAGATTTACTTGCATGTAAAAGATCCTCAAGCCTAAATGACGTCTCTGAGCTAAATTCAAATCGCCTATTCGTCGCCCAAGAAATACTCCGCTAGTTGGTGAAAGGAGCATAGCGAAATTTGCGGGGTCAGACGGAAGAGTGGACCTGATGGCCCGAGTCTCGTCATGTAAAACAAGGCATCAATTCAATTCAATCTACTGTAAAAGTGTGCAAAATTAATACAGTCAACCTTCATTTATTGGTACATTGTCGCTTCGTTACACGTGTAGATTTTATCAGGACAAAACAAACAAACAACAACCTTAGGTCGCACTTTACACTTGCAAGCACTACACTACCACACATGTCGGGTATTGAGTCTGGATCTTGTCCCGCCTGGGGCTGTGCCACGATGGTGGGCGATACCTTGTAGGGTAAAGGCTTCAAGTCGGCACGGGATCCATCAAATGAAGATCGCCACCACCTCCCGCAATAAAACACTCACTAACACTTACGGGACTAATGACCATAGCAGTCGACACCCAGAACTACAATCAATCCAATGCATTTTATCCCAGAATTTATTGTTGAATAGTTTACTAGAGAGAAAAATCGAAAGTAAATTATGAGAATTCAAAAAGAAACCGACTTTTTTGATGTAATTATCTAGGAGGCATATTTGAAGCAATTTCTTGAAAAATAGCACGAAGAGACCTCGTCTCCAGCAAATAGAACATATCCGCCCATTCTTCCACACCAAAACTAATAATCATTGCATAGCTATTCTCACATTTTCTTTCTCAGTGTACAATATAGCAGTTTTGAACCAAGCAGCCTTTTCCCTGAAACAAACTCGCCATACATGCACGAAACTTAACACAAAGTTCAGCCACGCCCATTCAAACCGTGGGACGCTCTCGTTTACGTGTGTAATTTGTCGCTTTCGTTCTCAGATCTCTCGGATTCAGGAGGCGATTCGTGAACGAGGAAAGGTTACGGGTTAAGATCCGAAATGTGTTACTACGACCTGAAACTAGTCTCAAGAGTGAGCTGCTATGGCTAAGAGGAAACATGTGGCTTCGTTGACCGCGAGAGTCTAGGGTGCGTGTAACGTTGTTGGAGGAGGTTTTTCACACTAGCTAACAGCTAGATCGAGTTCAGCCGCTGCCTGGAGGAGATATCTAGTGGCCAGGAGCTCTGATCGGTAGTTTTCCGTGGTTTCTCCGATCAACATCAGACGAATGCCGGAGCAGTACCTAACAAACGGGCCACGGTCAGCGCGCGATCGTTTCTTTGTCACCTGTGTGCCATACTCTCCCCTTTGTCTTATTTGCTCTCATGTCCGGAGCTTAGAGCTCGGCCGGTCAGGGGCTGTTCCTCGCTCGAGTGAGATACCTGCAGAAGGGAAAAACCGACGTGGAGGTTGTCGCGTGATCTCACCATCCAGCGCAACATCCCGCGATATATAATTCAATTCTCTAACGGAATTCTCTAATGACCATGGATCATTGAACCCGGAATCAACACTTGCTTAATCTGTAGCATATTGCTGGATTTTTATGTTTTTTTTTCTTTTCACATTAGAACAATGAATTTTAGTAATAGTATGAATTGTATGTTATTACAAAAAAATGACCCATTTTTATATGACATTTTTTGTATTTTCCATTTTTCTTCGATTTCGACTAATAAGTTCTTTTTAATCCTTTTCCGGCATATTAATGTATTTTTCGCCGATTTAATAGATTTTAATATTATAATGGTACTTGCTTAGAATAATGTTTACGCGATGCAACAAATGTTCTTCATAGAATTTTTGATTAGCCTAATCAATTTCTTCACCCAGAAATTATAATGAAAGCCATTGTATGTAATCTACGGTTCCTGGGACGACTGTCAGCTCTATTGTCGGTTCGGCGCAATTTGGGATTACTAAAAACAGATTTCCTAGTAAAGAAGTGTCCAAACCAAACGAAAGTTCACTTGAACGAAAGGAAGAAGCCTCGATTACACCAGTATCAAATCCAACAGCGTGATTTCGTCATCCGAACTGTTTTTGATCTCATATTTAAGTCATTTTTCTTTACTCTTAGAACATTTTAAAAATATTTTAAGAGCATTTTGTTGATCATTTTAGCGATATTTTAGGTTACCAAAACCCGCCCCTACTTATTATACTCGTGCATACGATAAGAGTTCGGTCGAGAGAAGCTTACGTTGCCAGCCTGCACCTCAGTTCCTCTCGGTTTGGGATGTTTGTTTTTGTTCTTCTTTCGTCAGCGGTGCACCCTCTCTTTCCCCCATTGGAGCTGCGTGTTAGAGAAGAGATTGATTGACAGGGGCTCGTGTTTATGATGCACAAGAGAAGCCTTTTGAAGTGGAAATAGCTCTGTAGATAGGGTTATTTTGCTGGGAGATGTGGTTGAGTTAATGTTGGGTTTTGGGAGAGAGGTAGTGGTTCGATGGAATACTTTGTTTAAGATGAGGTATTTTGGGGATGGGTGGTAGTTTTGGTTGGTGTTGTTTTGTACATGCGTATCTTGATCATTTCAATTTGGATTAAAAAGAGGACCTTGCGTTACCTTTACTGTTACTACATACTTTCTATAATAATAAAAAGTAATAATAGTATTTTAATAGAGGTAGAAGTAATAATGAACATATAATGCAGTATGTGTGTGCCATAATAATTCGCAAAAAGAACTAAAAAAGATAACATGTTCTAGAAATGATGTTGGATAACCCCAATCCCTGTTGTAGCTTATATGAATGCGTAATAAATAGTGTTTCTCGGTTTGATTGATTAATTAGTATTTCCGAGCGCGTAAACTACTACGATAACTAGTCCCGTACGTGTAGTGCATGTTTTATCTCTGGATGTGGCGGTCGCCTCCGCTGGATTGAGAGATCCGGGGCTGATATGCACGTCGACTTGCGGGGTTTCCCCAACCAGGTATCTCCCCACAGCGGGCCATCGTACCAGCCGGGACAAGCCCTAAGCTGCCGACTGGTTTCCCTGCTTGTGTGGTAATGTAGTGCCCGGAAGTTAGTATAAATAAAAAGTGAGGATAGGACAAAGGAGAGAATTGCGCAGGGTGCGTGGCTTAGGGTCAATTCCGGCATTTGTTTTGTGTTGTTCGAAGAAACCACGGTAAACCACAGACAGCGGTTGAATTGAACGATGCTACGTATTTAGCCAGAATCAAAAACCCGGTACCATCAGATCCAGGACCTCCCGCTCAAAATTCCTGCAGAACCAGCAGCAATGCTGGTCTGATCTAAACTCAAACTGTGACACGAAATATTTTTTTTTTTTAAATCAAAAAATACCACTCGTGGAACTGCTGATGTGAGGCGTAATTATGCCATAGACTATATATTTACGTTTACACGTGCTTTCTACAAGTAATCTACATATACTCGACGTGGCTATTTTCACGTTTAGTCTATATAGACGATGTAATCTATGTAGATATTTATTTTTTCACAGCAAAATAACCCCAAAAAGTTTATAACACGTTGTAACAATAGAGACATGTTGAAATGTAACATTAAGAATATTATTTTCGATACAATAAGTCACAATACACCACTTCTGACGAAATGACAATTTCCTTAACCTCCACAGGTACTATAGTGATTTCAAATACATCCAAGGACCGGTGGAATCACATAGTATCTAATACAATGCAAAACATCTTGTAAGACCGATTAAAATATAATAATACAATTTATCTTGTACGGCCGATGCATATATGATCAGTGAGATTCATAAAAAGTTGTCAACTATAAGACACTAACTAACTAACAATAAGAACTTTCAAAGGCTCTAATGCGGGGCTTCTGGAGCCACTGGCAAATATAGATCCGCAAAAAGGCCTAGAGTTTTGGTTTATCTTCCTTTATTTGGCAAAAATTGACTTTAATATTTATTTACGTTCGAATTATGTAGTTATTTAAAAAAGTATATTTTATGGTGTCGTATCTACAGGACATAAATAATGTACAATATAATAACGAAAATGTTTTTTATTTCACAAAAATATTCTATGGCCCCTTCCACAATTGGCTGGAGCCGCTTCTCTATTTCGCACACGTCTGCCTTGGGCGGTGGCGGCGGCGGTGGCGACAGCGCCGCGAAGTGCGGGAGGTTCCCGGGACGACCGGCACGTGGCGCGCGTGTCGCGCCGCTTAGCGCCGCCGCTGCCGGCGTGACGTCACACGCTGACGTACGGGGCGTTGCCTGCCGGTTCGTGACAACAAATCCTGCATGCGTTAAAATATCGGTTTAAAATTATACGATTGCAGCGGTGGTAGGATTTTCGACAACTATCTACATAGCCAAGTCGAATTCTGCTGTTGTATGCAGGAGAATTCTATCGGTCGGCTGCTCCGATCGGTAGTTTTCCGTGGTTTCTCCGATCAACACTAGACGTATGCCGGAGCAGTACTCTAAAAACGGGCCACAGACCACGTTCTTTCCTTCCTCATCCTTGTCCTATCCTCACCCTAATACACCTACATGCACTACACTACCAGACCTGTCGGGAGACCGGACGGGAGCTTAGAGCTTGCCCCGACTGGGGCGCTGTCACGGTGGTGGGAGATACCTGGTAGGGGAAAACACCGCCAGCCGTCCGTAGGTCGGCGCCGGATCTCGTCATCCAGCGGGAAAAGATCACAGCCACCTCATGCGGTAAAACATCTACTACATTTATGGAACTGATGGCCTCAGCCGTTTGCACGCTGGTAATTACTAATCAACCAATACAAAGAAAATAGAACAACAAATGCAATTGAATTTATGTTGAACCATTTTCAGGAATGCCAGGTTTTGGAGAGCCTCTTCTCAGATAGCAGTTCTCAAAGAACCTTTTCTCAAAGACAGTCTTCCGAAATTGTAAACTTAAGAAAGGGGAAAATAAGTAATAGACCTTATTAACGGAAATGATGTTTTATGACTGCAGGGCCCCTTACAAAATTTTCAGGAGAGCACGCCCCCTCCACCTATCTTAGTTCTTGGATATCTAAAAAGTCCTTAGACACATGGCCGCATTGAAAATTATGAATATAGATATACAACGTCTTTTTTCCAGATCCAGGAGGGTAACCAGTCCAGCAAACTGACCGGCGTGGAGCCTGATCTAATGTCTGTTGACGAACTTCAAGCCATTCTCGACAAAGCAGCCAACGGAACCTTCCGAGTAAGTACGCTTCGATGCTGACGATTATTTTGACAGATTCTAAAATAGTTGAGCGCCGTTCAAGACCGCATTGCTCTCCGAAACGTATTTTACCCCCAACTTGATGAATCTGCTTCAGTTGTTAATGCTCAAAGGAGGTGCAGTTGGAGGTTAGGGATAGTTTACACGAATGATTTAGATTGTTCTCGGATCATCGTGAATTCAATACTCACTTTAATATCTTAAATTAGATTAATACATTTAAATTTAGCAGAATTAATACAAATCATGTCGGAAAACTTGCGAAAATATTAATTTGGAGTAATTGGAGAAACTGAAAATGAGGTGCTGTACCTCGAAAGTAAATCACAATCACCGGATAGCAAAGAACTCGCTTCTATTCACTTTCAACATGCTTTCAATTTAATTCGCAATATGCCGTCTAAGAGAAAACGTTGTGTAAGCGATATTTCTATTTGTAGGTGTGAAGAGTCCTTTTCTTGCGTTATAGCTACGTAATTGCATTGGTTTCATACGAACATTCTCCAGTTGTCGTAATTATTACTTACGATATAGTAAGTGTCGTAAAGCATCTGATAGGAAAATTGCCAAACGAGGCCGTTACGCCGTTTGGTTACCTATTTAGTATTGTAATTAGATGTTGACACGAATATCGTACGTTTTATTCACTTTGTAAAAATATGTTAGATTTTATGTGAAATTTCCTCATACGCCTTCAATTAGTATTCACATTTTTTCTCCTGTGACGACACTGCTCTCAACAAAGAGAACAAATGAAACAGTTGGTGTATACGACATGAGAGAATATAGTTCTGATTCGGAAATAGCAATTGCTGCTACAGAAACATTGTTACCCAACAAATAATGAATGAAACATGAGCATGAGTATTTAATTTTTAAAGAATGGTGTGGAAAAATAAACATTCATTTCATATCGGAAAACGTTTTGATTGCTGACTTTTCTGGCAAGTGTGAGAAGGAGAAACCAAGATGTCTTTCGTCCCATCATTCTATGTTAAAGAGTACAATATCACTTAATGACAATACTGACATCAGATAGTTATTAGAGTTTTTGAAGAGTAAAAGTAAAGGATACAAGACAAACAAGTCCAAAATATTTTCACAAGGGTGGCAAAGTACCCTATTACTTTACCGACCTAGTGTTGTAATGAAGTACATTACCACACTATGGTGGTAAAGTACTTTATTACAAAACTGATTATAATGGCATAATGTTTGACTTTACCTAACCAAAGTGGATAAAATAACGAGTGTAACCCCCCAGCACACGTTAAACAGTTTTTTAAAGTCTTTATTTATTTACGTCAAAAACAGTTAAAAACTGTGTGGGGCGTGCTATGGGGAGAAGTTAAATTGAAGTTACATTCATGTCCAGAAGCAAAAGAAGGGGCCATCTCAGCATTTGCTCGAGGATCAGGGAAACCGGACGAAAACCTGATCGAGATGGGGGTCATTAACCCACAAGCCGAAGTACAATACTTGTCACAGGTTCTTTACAATAATACAATCCAAATGGTATATGATACATTAAATGTCATTGTTAAAATTAATATTTCTTTCCTTTTCGTGCTAAACGTTTATGAAATGAATGCGAATCATGACTGCACGTTTCGAACCGCCCCCGCTCCCAAAATGATGTCAATGAAGAAATGATGTCAAAATAGTTGCCCACGTGGCTGCACAGTCTACAATTCGCTTCAGCTAAACATTCTCAATTAAATAGTATTCATGTAAATAGGAAAAACTGTCGTACCTAAGGACAGATGTACCTCGGGAAAAAGCATGTTTTCGACGCGTCTGTAAGAGAAATTTTGGATTCTTATTTCCCTTACACTGATATTGTCATTTGTGTATGTTTTTTTGCAAGTGAATTATTTTGTACAATGTTCATAAAAATATTATAATTACACATAAACATGCTCAGATGTGTAGCATTCCAAAAAGATGAACATCAACAATTTCACATCCAAAGCAAGAGAGAAAAAAAATTAAAACACGAAAAGTGTCCCTATGTTCGACAGTTTCCTCTACACAGTAAAGGCAAATACTTCCAATGGAATATCTAAGGTATCGGGAATTGTCTTCCTAAGGGGAGAGAAAAATACTGTCTCTTTGCCGAGGACAAGAAAGATCCCACTACTGAGACAAAGGTGCACGAGAGGAAGAGTGACGAAACATTAACTTTCGCATATGATTGTGATTTTTAGCGCCAGGGAAGTGTACAGTTATCTACTATGCGATTCAGCTCTAGTTGAGTGTCTGTAATTTTACTAAAAAACGGCTCGACACTACTAAAACTTCCTTCTAAACTAAAAAGTAGAAAATATGGATCGATCGCACTAGATAGTGGATATTCCTTGCTCTTAATAACCCAAATCAAAGTGAAGGCATTGTGTGCAAGTATGAAACATACATCTAATTGTAAGGCAACACCGAAAAGTAACGAACGAAGAGAATCTCAATAAAGAGACGACGAGAGCTGTCTTCAGAAAGTTTAAGAATTCAAAAATATTTTTGTTGTACTTTATTTGTTTGTTTTTGTAATATGACAATACAAAATGTTCAAAGATTTTTGAAATGTTATTGAGACATTTTTTGAGTATGGAATATTTGCAATTTCATAATTACGATATGGTGAAAGAAATTTGGAACAGATGTTTCAAAATGATAAAAATATTTTTTGCTTCAAAAGATAAAATTATAAACAATGAAGTGATTTGTATGCCATCTACTACATGAAAGTCTATCGGACAATTGGTACTATTTTCAGACTTCTGTGATATCATTTAGTTCATCTAAATAAATATCTCTCTAGATGAGCGATATTTTGGCCCCATACCATACACGTTGTTGTTTAGATGCTCAATAGAATGAAAAAAAAATCTCCGGGGACTTCCACAACGTTTTATCTTGCTATATCCTTTGGCATCTTCGAAAGCATGCTACAAGCATCACCACAGCCTAGTCAATGCCGCAAAACGATCTACAGTCGGACCTCCATATATCGAACCTCTATCAAATTACTCTATAAATCGAATTTGTCTTCAGTCCTTTCTAAGTTTCGTTTAAAAATGTTTCCACTTATCGAAAATTATTACTTTATATCGAACTCATGTTCTGACTTTACTATTTTTTCGATGACATAAAAATGTTCAATATATTCTATAAATTGTTTCTAAAAAACAGCTTTGTGTAATTTGGAAAAATAGAATTACTACTGCAGGAAACATAACTGCATTCTAGACGTTATTGTATAATTGAATAAATGTTGATAAAACACCAATACGCTTCCTACATCCAGTTCCCAGCCTTCTCGTGAAGTTAGCTCACTCCCGCTTTCCTCCTCCATGGGAACGTGTCAATCGCAGGAATGCATACGCCAAAGCGATTTGAAGATCAGTCCATGACCCTTCTTCTACTGGCCCTGCTCTACGATGTTAGTTCGTCAGTTCAGCGAAGGTTTAGTTTGGAGTGCATCATATGTCCAACAACACAATTGAATTTCTTTAACTTTCAATTTAATGATTCGGAAAGGTACGCATGCAATACTAATTTCATATTACTATTCATAAAATTGGGGTATGAATGATTAAAACGTTTTAAAATTATTTACTGTTCAAATTTCCATTTCCATTTTTCCAAAATTGTTTAAAATCATTGCAAAAATTTCATAATTCTTTTCATATTTCGAATATTATCGAAGGAACCGTCAGTTTCGACGTATGGAGGTCCGACTGTACATCTGCTTCGGTATAGTCGGGACTCTGCTATATTTCGGTCCACTGTTTAATTGAAGCGTGGTGTAGGTGTAGTAATTTGTTTCATTACCAGCAATTACCCGTAGTTTCGTGGCACCAATTGGCGCTTATTAAATTCACAGGAGAATGTGTTCACGTATCCTGCCCCCGCGCGAATTGCAGTAACAGTGGAAAGAGATAAGTGACGCACGTCAAAGAGTAGGCGATGAAGAAATGTTACAAAAGGAAGCTCCATAAATATCTTCGGCCTCGTCTGGCTCAACCACGTACTTAAACGCAATACCGTAGCCAACAGTGAAACAGTATTTACAGTGGAAGCTCTCTGAAGCACCCCTATTAAACGACCACCCCTCTCAACCACTGATTTTTCTGGGAACGGACCCTAAAGACCATTTATGAATGGGTGAAAACTATAACGGTATAAGAGACATTTTATAAATTCTGAAGAAAAAAATAACAGTCCTTTTGACCGGGAGGTCCTAGGTTCGAGTCCCGACGGAGACAGGATTTTCGACACTAGCTTGTCAGCAAGGTCGAATTCAGTCGCTGTCCGGAGAAGAATTCTAGCGGCCGACTGCTCTGATCGGTACTTATCCGTGGTGTCTCCGATCAACACCAGGCGAATACCGGAGAAGTACCAAATGAGGCACGGACCGCGCGCGATCTTTCATACCTCTTCATTGTCATATCCTCACCCCTTACACACACTTACACTATCATGCACTACACTAGGTCGGCGCCAGATCTCGCTATATAGCGAGTGAAGACCACCGCCACATTCCAAGCAAAAACATGAACTACACTTACAAAACTAATGAGCCCTAGTACTTGACGCGCCCGGAAGCACTAACAATCAATTAATCAATCTGAGAAAAAATGTTTATTTTAGGCTATATTTCAGTGTCAATGTATTTTCGTGGTATTAATGAACAATTGAAATGCCATGGTGCTAATGATGAAACAAAGCAAGACGACTTTACAGTACTATTGACTAAAATAAACACATTTTCCAGAATTTATAAAATGTAACTTACACTGTTCTGATTTTCATCCATTCATATTGTGTGTAAATTACACCCTTATTATGAGACCACACCTCAGTCCCCGACCACCAACCAACCCCTTAATAGCATTTTTTTTTATTTGATCTCCTCTAAGAGACGGCTTTCAGAAACATTGGGAGTATACAATTTACCGAATTTTTGGTAGTTATCATGAAAATCAGCAATGTCGTCAAAAGCATTTTCGCGACATGCCCTCACCTTCACTCTTGAGGGAATCGTAGGGGGAGTTTTCAAAAATTGTTTTTATTGCGCCAAGAAGAGCGAGAGAAGGGAGGTTTTGAACTCTTTAAGTCATATATTTTGTCATGCATCCTCAAATGGCACACTTCTGTGTCTACGCAAGAAAATGAGGATTCGTTCCCAATAGTCACACCTAAAAAAAGAACAGTTGAAGTATACCAGATCCATGATACTGTAACAAGGAAACTTGTTACAGTATCACAGATCCGGTATACTCCAATGGTTATTTTTTCGATGCAACTATAGAGAATACTAAAACTCAAAGTGTTTTAACAATTTTATTTTACCCGAGAGATGCATAAATGCATTTAAAAAGATAGTAAATAATTCTAAAACGCGATAATAGCAAAAATAAAAAATAAAAAACAACAACAAATTTTTCATTTTTCATAATTCGAGCACATACACTATAAACTTTTCATAAACAAACAAACGAACGAAGGCACTTTCCGAGAGGAGTAGTAATCGGTACCAAACGTTTGGCGCTTAAATCTAATTATTGAAGTTTAGGAATCCTTGTTCAGTAAAGTCCATTGAGACCTTATGTGATGATCTAATGAGTAAATAACAAAAATACTATTGAGACGAATGATGACGCAGTAATGAAAGCTAGGAGTAAAGAGAGAACCCCGACAAAACCTACTAGGAGCTCCCTTTATTCACTAGTGTTCACATGGGTAGTTTCAAACAGCCCTTAACCTCGTCTGTAGGTGGTCTGAGGATTCACAATCGCTACCAATCGTTAGGCGCTTAGCTCTAATGTAGGAATGGACGGATCCTTGTCCACTTAATGTTAATGAGGCCATAAGTGAAGATTAATGAAATATAAATAATACCGATAATAAAAAATACCGATAATATTGTCCACATGAATGATGATGGAGTAATGAGAGGCAGTAGGAAATGGAGAACCCCGAGAAAAAATCAACCAAACTACTCAGAGCTCGTTCGTTCCACAACACTTTCTACATGGATTGTTTCAAACAGCCCTCAACCTCGTCTGTACGTGGTCTAGCTTCACAACCGGTACCAAACGTTATGTGATTAACAGTAATTATTGTAGATTAGGATCCTTGTTTTGTTAAGGTAACTGAGGCCATACGTGATGATCAAATGAGTAGGTAGTGATAAGCAGGGCTCGGATTCTGATGACATGTCATCTTTTTATTGGTGCATTGTAGACGTTGCTAACTTGTAAATGAATGTTTACTATGGCATACCATAGGCAACAGAAATGTATAGTTATGGGGTCATTTTTTGCTATTTTCCAATTTTCAGGTAATTTTTTGGAGCTTTTCACGCATTTCCCCCCTTCCAGTGTTTTTTGTTCGTGAATGTTTCATGAATTTACAATGATACACTAAAACAAAGTTTATATTGTATCAACAATTCACCTTTCAAAACCGATGGTTGGGCGATCGAAGCTAACCATTACATTCCCTCCTAAATTGAATTTATATTAGTCATAGTTTTATATAAATAAATTTTGTTTAAAATTGTAAAATTTATTGTAGTAAACATTTTCATACCAATTTTTGAGTATAAAAAAGAGTTCATTTTTCCCTTATTTTTAAGTTGTTCACGTCTTTTCTCCTTTTTTGAATTATTTTTACAGGTAATTTTCAAAGAATTTTTAGGTCAACAGAGTCCTGGTGATGAGGATGCTGAGGGGAATGATGTCGAAGTAATGAGGGGAAAGAAAATGGGCTAATCTCTAGAAAATTTGCTGAGAGGGCGCTTTATCCACCATAATTCCCACGTGGGTTGTTTCAAACATTCCTTAACTTCGACTGTAGGTGGTCTCTGAGATTCACAACCGACACCGAACGTTAGATGCTAAGCTATAATGATTATAGTTTATGGATCTTTGTTCAGTGAAGGTCTGTGAGGCATATAAGTGATAAGCCAAAAATTAATTAGCGATAATTATGTTGACGGAGAGATAAGAGAAACGGGAGAACCCCGTCAAAACCTACAGAGAGTTTGCATTATCCACCATAATTTACTCATGGGTTCAAACAACCCTCAACATCATCTATAGAGTACTGGTGGTCTGGCGAATTCTGGCCAGTATTTTCTTATACTTTCTTGCCAAAAACGCTCATTTATATTCCGTATTCAGAATTCACCTAATATAACGACTAGTGTACGTAGGATTTCAGAAAATGTGCATAGAAAACACTTCTCCCCATAGTACGTCACACAGTTTTCTGTTTAAATCTAAATAAATAAACCCATTGAAAGCTCCCTTAATTCACCAAAATGTCCAAAGGGTTCACTTGAGATCAAACGGGAGAACCCCAATAAAACCGACTGAAATCTAGTACTATCTATCACAATGTCCATAAGGGTTGGCAGTGATTCAGACCCGGAGCCCAGCGGCGGGAGAGCTATTACACCACGAGGCGTGCCGCCTCTTCTGTTGCAGCTGAACCTGACGCAGTATCTGCAGCTGCTGTTCGACGGGGAGCCTGACGTCACCCTGCAACTGGGGCCGGACGCGTCGCACGAGCGAGACCTCCTGCAGGTGTACGACCTCAAGTACCTCAAGTCGCTCGCGCCCCTGCTCAACCAGCTCAGCGACAGGGAACTGCGTAAGCTCCACTTCCTTCCGCTTATTACATAGATTATTCCGGATGCTAAGCTCGTTGGTAGCAGCTCCTAAGGTCATTAGTCCCGTAAATATGGTGCATGTTATTGTCGCGGGAGGTTGCGGTGATCTACTAGATGATGAGGACCGGCACCGACCTACCCGTCAGCTTTTTCCTCAACCAAGTATCTCCCATCAGCGGGGCTCCGCCCCAGCCGGGACAAGCTCTAAACTCCCAACCGGCATGTGCGGTAGTGTAGTGCATGTTAATATAAGTGTGTGTATGGGGAGAGGATAGGACAAGGAAGAGGTAGGAAAGATCGTACGAAGTCTGTGGACCGTTGGTTAGGGTACTGCTCCGACATTCGCCTGGTGTTGATCGGAGAATCCATAGAAAACTACCGATCAGAGCAGCCGGTCGCTTCTCCTCCAGACAGCGACTAGATTCGACCTAGCTGACAGGCTAGTATTGAAAATCCTGCCATTGACGGATCTCAACCCCTAGGACCTTCCGGTTAGAGGCACTGCGGTAACATCAATTGATGCCCTGAGCCACCTAAGCCGGTAGTAATGTTGATCATATACTCATACGAATGTTTAGAAAAATGATAAAACGTTGTACGATACTTGTATCTCCATTCTCCAAGAAAGTATTGTATCAATATCTGCTTCAATACTTGTTTCATAAATAACACTTATATTAAAAAAATAAAATCCAGAGTTAAATTTTAAAAGATTGATTGTGTTGCAGAAAACTACGTGTGGTGGAAGGTAGTTAGCACGTTGGCGCCCTACACAGACAGCGAGATGCGGATTCTCAAGGAACGCTATCTCGAGGATGCTACGGAGAGCTTCAGTCCTGAGTCCAGGTGAATGATTAGAGTGATTTTTTAAGTATGTTGCTTTTTAACAAGTCTCCAAGCCCTACTTGAGCAATCAGCGTCTGGAGTAATCCTCCTTGGAGGCTTTTGTCTCAAGTCGTAGTCGGGGCCTTGTTCGGCCAGGGTCTCGGTGCCACCAGTAACAGGAGTTCCCAGACGGTCACCCGTCTATAAATCCATGGTGTCTCGAATGGCGAACTACCATGACTTCACGTAGCGAAGTTAAGTAAATCAGCTAATGACGCCGACTGTTTAGAGTGATTTTTTTGAGTGACTTTCTCGGGAATTTATTTATTTACTAACAAAACAGTTAAAAACCGTGTGTGATGTTTCGGAGAAAAGTTAGATTTGTGCAGGGTTTTGATACGCTCCAGAATATCTACCCTAGCTCATTTACAATATTAAGTTCAATTATGAATGCAGGTAGCAACGACCGTTCATAGGCATTGATACATGGCAACGAGAAATATATACGCTTCTGTGAAATAAAAACTATTTGCGTTGGCAATTGAGCTACATATTTTGCTTTTCCTCTCTTATTTTGCCCAGTGTGAAAGAAGCAACGCACTACCGTGAAAACATTGATAAAGATTTGTTTATGGTAGGTACTGTTACGATAAAACTAGATTTCTCATTAGAACCCTAAAGAGCACAAGAAAACCTGTGCAGTTAACGAAGCTGCATTCAGAAGTAAAGCCAGAGGTCATTCCTGCATTTGCTTAATGGATCAAAGGAAATTTAGAAGAAACTGACCTTACCTTACTAACCGTATTAACTAAATGTCAAATATTCTAACCATTTCCCTCTGTCCCTTAGGCCGCACTTCTGCGCCAACCTGATGAGCCAGATGACAGATACTCTAACCATTTCTTTTTCTTCATTCTTCTCTGCCCTCCAGGCCGTACTTCTGCGCCAACCTTACTACCTAAATGTCAAATATTCTAACCATTTCCGTGTCCCTTATGCCGCACTTCTGCGCCAACCCTAATGACCCAGATGACAGATACTCTAACCATTTCTTCTTCTTCATTCTTCTCTGCCCTCCAGGCCGTACTTCTACCCCAACCTTACTATCTAAATGACATATATTCTAACCATTTCCCTGTGTCCTTTAGACCGCACTTCTGCGGCAACCTGATTAGCCAGATGACAGCTACTCTAACCATTTCTTCTTCATTCTTCTCTGCCCTCCAGATCGTACTTATGCGCCAACCGTACTATCTAAATGACAGATAGTCTAACCATTTCTTTTTCTTCATTCTTCTCAGCCCTCCAGGCCGTACTTCTGCACCAACGTTACTACCTAAATGACAGATATTCTAACCATTTCCCTGTGTCCTTTAGACCGCACTTCTGCGCCAACCTTACTATCTAAATGACAGATACTCTAACCATTTCTTCTTCGTCATTCTTCTCTGCCCTCCAGGTCGTACTTCTGCGCCAACCTTACTACCTAAATGACAGATATTCTAACCATTTCCCTGTGTCCCTTAGGCCGCACTTCTGCGCCAACCTGGTGAACCAGCTGATGGGCATGGCGGTGGCGTACTTCTTCTACGACGCGGCGCAGCTCAACGCGACGCGCGCCAAGATGCAGGAGATGTTCGCGGACATCCGGTGGGCGTTCGAGGAGCGCGTGGGGCAGCTGGAGTGGATGGACGCGGACACCAAGGCCGCCACGCGCGACAAGGCCGCCGCCACGCACTTCCTCGTCGGCTTCCCCGACTGGCTCGACGACCCCGCGGAGCTCGACAACTACTTCCAGGGGGTGAGTGAGTTCGCGCTGGAGCACGGAACGTAAACGCTAACGCTATACAAGACGCTAACGCTATATGAAACGCTTACGCTGTATTAAAGGCGAACGCTGTATTAAAGGCGAACGCTATATTAAACGCTAAGAGTATAGTAATTGCTATTGCTATAGTAACCGCTAAAGTTATTGCAAACGTTACTTCTAAAGTACGCATTACCGCTATGGTAAACACAAACGCTAACGCTACAGTAAACACTAATGCTATAGTAAGAGTACTGTAGTAACCGCTATTGCGTAAACGCTAATTCTATAGTACACGCTAACGCTATAGTAAACGCAAACGTTTTACTAATCACTAACGCTGCAGTAATCGCCAATGCCATATTATACGCTGACGCTATAGAACACGCTTATGCTACAGTAAACGCTAATATTTTCGCTTGTTCTTGGAAAAGTACACGGAAAAAAAGAAGTTTCAGTATACCAGATCCATGATACTGTAACATGATAACATTATACAGTATCATGGATCTGGTATACTGCAACTGTTCTTTCTTTTCGTGATACATTTTACCAAATGTAATGAAAATGGTAGCTCAATATTGAACTCCATAAAGACACTTAACACCGTCGCGTTTGACGATTACTTCCCAGGGTGCGTCCTCACATAATGGGTTCGGAACATAAACGCTAACTCTATTGCAAAGATAATTTGGCCGCGTTGCGCTCGAAGTCTACTGCCATGGCTTCAACGCAATTGAGACCAGAACGTAAAGTGCTGACACGATGACCGGCATCCAAACACTAAGTTCATTCCTACTCACTGAGGAAATTTTGGCGAATTTGCATCCAATGTTGCATAGGGTTTTGCGTACATTTGACTAGTAGTGGAGGCCACAAGCAGCAGTCGTTGTTTTCTGTGCATTTTAAAACAGAGCCTCGCATGCTGTGCCTCTAACCGGGAGGCCCTACTAGGGTTCGAGTCCCCGAGGTGGCAGGATTTTCGACAGTAGCTAGATAGCTAGGTCGAACGCAGCCGCTGTCTGGAGGAGAATCCTAGCGCTAGGCTTCTCTAACCGGAAGTTTTCCGCTTTTTTCCCCTTCTTTTCAATCGACACAGGGCGAATGCCGGAACAAACTGGCCAAGGACCGCTCGCGATCTTTCTTTCCTCTTTTTTGCCGTCTCCTCACCCCTTACTTTCACACACACACACACACACTCACTCACTGTGAGCCGGTCTCGGCTGAGGCGGTGCTCTTCTGATGGGAGTTACCTGATTGACGAGAACATCGCAAGTCTTCGGGTGGGTCGGCGCCAGATCTCGCCGTCCAGCAGGGTAACATCACCGCTACCTCCCGCGATAATCACTTGCACTTACGGGACTAATGACGGTAGTAGTTAACGCGCCCGGAATCACTTATCAACCAATCAGCTCTCGAACGCATTGCAATAAACCAGAGTCCGACAGGGGATTAAGATACAGTTGCCGCGTCCGGTTAAAAGCTGTGGGTGTGAACGACCAGCGACTAGTGGCCGCCACATGTGATCAAATATGCGCATTAATGCTATAAGCAGTTCACGCGCACGGAAACACTTATCAACCAATCAGCTTTTGAAAATAAGTCAGAGTTCCGCAAGCTCGACAGGGGATTAGGACATTGTTGCCGCGTCCGGCTAAAAGCTGCGGGTGTGAACGACCAGCGACTAGTGACTGCCACACGTGATCCAGTGTGCGCATGACCTTAAATACTTCCGATCCCATCGACTTTTTCTAGAAGTGCTTCTCGTTCGCGTCTTCCTTGATGTTCCCGCAAATATGCTGGCTACGTAAACATTGTGGAAAACGCGCGGCATTTCCTTCTAAGTGGTCGTCCATCAATTACGTAACCTTAAAGAGAGGGGGGAGGCAGCGTTACGTTGCTTTACATAGGGGTAAGGGGGCCATTGTTTAATGTTACGTAATGCAGGTATTTATTTTTAAAACTTTTCAACATTTGCTGAAATTATTCCTTTTATATAATCTTATACTAAAACTTTAAATATTAACAAATTAAAATGTTATAAAATAACAAATTAATAAATAGAATACACAATAATAGAAATATTAGATAAATAAATAGAAATATTTTTTCATCAATGATACTTTGATTAAAACTGCTAGATTACAAAGCAAATATTCGTAAGTAATCTTGTAGTATATTCTAAAATCAAATTAAATTGGTTCAGTTGACTCTTGTATTGATCACATCACATTACAAAGATGTAGTATTTCTACTAAGCAATAAGCATTTTAAGAAGAAATTCACATTTTAAATATGTGTTGATTTTTATCCAATTTGTGGGGATACTTCACTAAATTTCCTTCCCCACTCCAGAATCATTTTCAGAAGTTGTCCCTGGCTCACTACTTAAACAGTATTGTTAGGGCAAATACTCGACTTATGTTTTTAACAATACTAGAATTGACCATACAATATATATATTTTTTTAATAATTTTCAGATTACAGTAGAAGAAGATTCATTTTTGGACAATCTCATCAGCATTTCTGAACGTGGCATGAATTCAACTTTGAGAAGCCTAAGAGAAATTAACGATCAGTCAGGGTAAGACATGATATTTTTCATTACGACTAGTTCAGTCTATTTAACATCTTAACCTGTAGTACCTATAAATAATCAAATTGTACTTACTTAAAAACTGAATAATTGGCTAATATCAGCTTCTATGACATGGGATGTGAAAGGGACATGTCCTCCCTATATTTTCAAGTATATTCAGACATTTTATTCTAATTTAATTTTTTTTACTGAAGACTTTGGGCAACATAATATAATAACAATTTATTTGTTACATTTCCATTCAGATTGGGAAATGACTGTTAAATGGTGTTCAGAAAAACATTTGGCATCCTTCATTAGCTCAAAAGGAAAATATATATGGGAAAGGTATTATCGGAAGATCATCTTGAAAGGACAGTAGATGTAGGTGTTCTTGTGAGAGGTATTCTTCATTTCTAAAGAACAGGATTAATTAGCACATTAATTCCCATACTGCTACTTCACCACCTCCATCATCTTCATTGACAATGCTTCTTTCTACGTTTATTATCAAAGTATATTATTGAATTCATAAACAGCAAAATTATTTGACCTTTTTTATTTCGTTGCAGAACCTTGTTAACTTCAATTAAACCATTAAAAATTGCTTTGACTGAAATTGGAATTTTGTGAAGGTATACATTTGTTTTGGTGTGCCCCAAAAAGGGTTCAAGCCTGAGATGTCCATTGTCAATGTTACTAATATAAATTATTATACACATAAAGACAAAATGAAGATACTCTATTGAATTACTTTAATATAGAATAAGTGAAAAGTATTAACAAAAGCCCAAGCAGATGAGATCAGCAATGTGGGAACGTACTTCCCTCTGCTGTTTGAAGGATTCAGAATTGAAGTCCAAAATTCTTGAATATATCTGTCCATCTCTCAGGAATATTAATTATCCTTTTAAATTCTATGTCTGAAAAGCATGTTATATTAATAGAAGACAGCTCTAAAATATGCTACCAACAAGTAACAGTGCGCCTATAGATGAATAGGTATCTGTTTTGTATGAACGAGAAAAATAGGTCTGTCACAATACCACAAGCACCATCATGTGAGATGCTTTGGCTTTGGTTGACCAAGAAAAACAAAAGAAGGATAAATAAATGTGGTATTGATCTAAATAAAACATTTCAAATGAATAATGACTCTATAACTAGAAAACTCACTTCACTAGAGCCCAACATTGTAGAAATGTAATATAATCTACCAATATTCTGAATCTTCCACCACTCAAGTTCAATTGATTCCTTTCTCAATTCTTTCTCTTCTGCATCCCTACCGCCTCCTCATAACTCCTGTTATTAGGGTAGGCAACCTCATGGCACCTAATCACCTCCACCTCTTCATCTCCACATAAATCTGTGGTCACAGAGTAAAAGTTCATTAGTAAATTTTTGACAAAATTGGGTCAAATACTGAAACTACAATTGAAGTATCTATTTTTTATTTTAGTAAAACAACCAAATACAAATGTTGCCTCCTTAATGACAAAAAAGTGTGTGCTTCATACCACTCATCAAAAACGGCTCAATAATCTAACCGTTGTTTTTTCCAAACCAAGATTTTTGTCTTACAAGCTTTTATCCCATGGTCATAGAAATATGGAAGGTAAGAAAGAAAATGCATAATCGTAATTATATTTTCTTTGAAACAGGAGCTGGGAAATTGGCCCACCAATGGAAACTAATGCTGCTCATGTTCCATACCTAAATTCTGTTGGTGAGTCCAAAGAATTAAGACACTGGCATTCATTGCCTACTTTTTTATTTATTATATTTTTTATTTATTATTATTTTTCTTAACTTGTGATATTTTTAATTTGTTTTTGAATTTATCTATGTAAATTTATTTAAATGTATTTAATTACATTATTTGCTTATGTAAAACATTATGATTCTTGGAGGCTTAGTTGAATTTAACTTTTTTTTCTCCCCAGTATTTTGCACACTAAGTTTTGCAGTTTCCTAATTTACATTATATTATTTTTCAGTGGTACAGGCTGGAATAATGCAATTTCCATTTTTTCTTCTGGGCTTAGAGTGAGTAATTTTGTTAATTTATTTCTAAGTAATAATATCGTGTGTCATTACTAGACCTGACTTTTAGGCCCAAAAATGTTATGATTAAGGTACTTAAAGTAGGTAACAAAATTTCAAAATTATGTACTATTAAGCATGAAAAATGATATTTTTGGCAATTAAAGTAAGTTACAAAATTACTAAACCAGACCTTTAAAAACATTATGCATGAAAAGTTATGTTTCTGGCACCTAAAACTGATCACAAAAGTGTTGAATTAGGCACTTTTTATTATTCTTTTCAACATATATGAGCGATACTACAAACATATTATTTTATTCACTTTCATTTCTTATAATTTCTTTCATTCTTTTACACTTTTCATTCTCAACCTGTCAACAGTGCAACCACATAGGGAATGGCTGCAATTGTTTAAGAAGTATAAGAAGTGAATCTCCTAAAGAAACGAAATAGACATTTGTCCTAAAATTTGAGGTCTAGTCATTACATGTACATTTATAATGTGAGTGATCTCAGTAGCAACATACCTAATTACTGTTGTGACTGATCTTAGTAGTAGAATAAAACATTTCTAGCATACTCATGTTTTCATGTCCATGTGTTTTCTTAAGTCCATTCTATACTTCCTTAATCTTATTGTACATCATCATAATGAACTTACCAGAAATTAGGCTTTACAGCCTGTTTCTATTGGTTTATTACATTAGTCTTAGTAGATTATTAGTCTTCCAAGTGTTCCTACTGTTGCCATCTTTTTAAATGGTCTGCCTCTATTTCTGATTCCTATTGGTTTGTACTACCAGATTAATTTTGGAAATCTGTTGTTATACATTTTCTGCAAATTCATTGCAAGGATTAGCAGCTAAATTGTGGAGTTTCAGTTTTGTTTCTGGGACAATGACACCGCCAAAGTGTCTCTTAATTGTTCCACATATTCTATTGCAGTTATTAAGTTTGTTTACTATGTCTTCCTGAGTTTGGTTGTATACACTTATATTTCAAAGGTATGAAAATTTATTTATTTGTTCTGCTAATTTTCCATATATTATTATTTTGGCTTTCCTCTGTTCCCTTCTTTGTATTGCCATAACTTTTGTTTTCTGAACTGCTATCTTCATGGAATATTCTGGGGCCACTTTTGTCAATTCAGAAACTGCTCTTTGTAAATTATCTTCAGAATCCATTACAATAGTTTGGTCGTCAGCTTACAATCTATCTATCTTCTTGTCTTTTGTGATCTGTATTCCTTGTCTAACTTTCCTTCTCCAATTTATTACTAAGTGGTTAATATATATGTTGAAGAGGATGGGTAAAAATTCACATCCTTGTCTGTTTCTCAGCACGTTTGCATAAAGCTTTGAAGCTGTTCATAGCAATGTAAAGCCCCTATAATTGTCACCTATTTTCTTTGTCACTCTATTGGAATTATTTTCTCTTGCTTGTGTTCCCTTGTTTTCTCTTTGTTAAAAAATTCTAATAACATTTCTTTCAGCACCTTTTCTCCATATCTTATGAGTTCTATGTTGACCACATCTAGTCTGGGGCTTTTCCTATTTTTTGCTTTTCTTAAAACTAACTCAAGTTATTCTATATTCAGTGAGTTGTCTAGTTCATCATTGTCCAATTTTTTGCTGGTTCCTTCCTGTACTTCATTAGATCTGAGAGTTGGATTGTTCCACAGGGTGGGGTAGTATTTTATCCAGTTATTTTCTACAATGCCATCCAGTCTGATTTTACCTTTCACATTCATGTGCAGCAATTTCAAACCTTTGAAACCCATTCATTGGGGACCTGATACATCTCTTTCTATGATTTTAACAAATTTTTTCTAGTCCTCTCTCCTGTGTATTTGACAGACGCATCTCACTTTAGCCCGTAATCTTTTATATTCCACGTAGTTTTTCACTGTGCATTTTTGGAGGGGGGTTCTGTATGCTTTTTTCTTTTGATTGATCATTTTTCTGGAACATTGTTCCATGTTCACAGCCATTTAGTTTTCTTGAATGGTTTCTAGTCTACACTCTCTTTTCCTGCTTCAATCATAGATTGTTTACGTGAACTGCAAAATGTCTCAATATTTTACTTCTCCACCTTCTGAAGTTTTTCTCTCAGTCTTCTTTCTTATACTTTCATCTTCTAGAAAGAATTCATCATTATTATTCTTTGGACATCTAGTTCTATTCATCTACAGAATCTTTCCATTTCTTATTTACTATTTAAAAACCTCCTGATCTCATTGTCTCTTTTCCCAATGGTTGGATTTCATACACACATGAGTAACGCATACACATAACGTTTAAAAAAAAAATTATCTATGCCAATTTATTTTTGTTTTGTTTATTTTAATTTCATGATATTCGCAATCCACTTTATCTCTTAGTCATTTTATTCTCATTTCACTTGTGATTAATTACTCAGATACATTCTAACATTATGTATTCCTAAGGATAATTACTTTATTTGTTTGGTCTTATATAGAATGGGTTTAACGTTTTTGAAATAATGAAAATAATTTAATTCAGCAAAATATATTTGTTAATTTTAATTGAGCAATTTATTTATGGTTTATTGTTCAAGTACCTTTCTTTGATAGTTTATTTGTTTATGGGACTAATTGTTTGAAGAACAATATTGCACAGTACAGCTTTGGCAACACTTTTTTTTATGTGATATAATTGTGTGATTGGAATATTAATTACCTCAAAACATCATCAGTTTTAGTTATTTGAATGCAGCAATACAGTAATATACTTTTTTTTCTTTTGATTGTTTACAGAGCCCTTAACTATGGTGCTATTGGTAGTATTATTGGTCATGAGTTAACTCATGGTTTTGATGATCAAGGTAAGCATAATTTTAAAGTTTATTATTTTTAAGTACATATGAATCTAAATGGAATTAATGGAAATGAGTTTCTACATTGCCATTATGGACTACAGTTAAATAATCTTTATAGCACTCTTTACAGCTCTTCATAGTTTAAGAATCAAAATTGTAGAAATATAAAGAAAAAATTATACAAGATATTGTTGTTCTCATGTCAATTAATTTGTATTATGAAATGAGTATGAAGAACTTAACAAAAAAATGAATAAAAAATTAATTAATTTGTCTGATAGGTACTAATTTAGATCTGCATTTCAGTATGTTTTGAATAAGAATATGGCAATAATTTCAAAACAAATTGCAGGCAGGAAGTATGACAAGGAAGGCAACTTACTGCAGTGGTGGAGTAACAAGACGGTGGCAGAATATGAGAAAAGAGCTCAATGTTTTGTCGAACAATACAATCACTATCGACTGAAAGAAATAACTGATCAAGTAAGTTGTATCATGCCATTTTCTTTTAATTTTCAATTTAAATATTGGAATAGAACTAAGAACAGATAACTAGATTACAATTAAACTAAAGGAATTGCTTTTTTAAATTAAAACTATTTGTAACCAACCAAAATTAACAAAATAATGAAATACATCCCAAGAAAAGAAATAGTCTACGAAAATGTGAGTGATAAACTCTACCAGAATTTACTATGTAGTCTATAAGTAGTGGTGGTACCTGGTTGATGTTTCAGTGAGATTCAGTGAGAAAATGTATCCCATTAAAAGTAAGATCCAATAACCAGATAGCTATACAACATTGACACACAAACTTTCTGCAATTGAAAATACTGGTGTATGAACAAGTTATTATTCACACCTAGCAGGAGAATGTAATGTGAAGATGTGTTCCTTTTTAAATAGTCTTTACAAAAATAATAGGTTTAGGTTGAGAATGATTCTTAGTATCACTTCTTAATTGGCTTTCATTGGTTTGTTTTCTAAGACAATCAAGGGTCAAGATGAAATCGGGTGAATCTGAAAGTGAAAATGAGAAAATATTGTATGAAATTCTTAAAATGTTGAATTAACCAAGTATATTTTATACAGTGTCTCATACTTCATTGTCTTAAAAAACAGGAACAAATAATTTTTTTTTTAAGTCTAAAGTTACTTTATTAATAACCTAACTGAAAATACATTTTAATTTCAAATGCTTTCTTTACTTAAGAAATACAAATAAGTTTCATAAATAGTATAGCTTTCTGAAGCAACAAATACCCTGTCTATGAACGTTCAATGCAATACCAAGCTACATCTGAAGTCAACATCTCATAGGTACTGGCCTGATGAGAAACTTGCCTAATGAAAACAGATTTTTGTTTCATTTTCAAATAAAGGATTTCTGCATTATCATAATTTGACCAAGCAGATCTACTTTAAAAGGTAATTTAAAAAAATGACAATGTATTAACTATTATTGTAGCAGTTGATAAATCGAGTTAATATTATAAAATGTCTAAAAAACAGCAAACATCTCTTTAAAAACCAAATTTTATATGTTAAATACAAATAATATACAGTCATCCAATATGTTTAGTAATCATGTAAAAGATCATGTAAACATAAAAATCAACAAATTGTAACTTATGTAATCATAGTAAAGAAATGTTAAAATAAAGAAAATGATAATCATCTAACTATTAATCATACTGTACTTGAAATTCAATAATCTACGATTTTAGTTCATTATAATTAGAGTAATTTTAATTCATGTACTCCAATCTTGTTGCTTAAGGTAGCAATGACTATCCTGTATGTTGCCAGGTTGATGGAGAACAGACACTAGGAGAAAATATTGCTGATAATGGAGGCCTGCGAGAAGCGTTTCAGGCCTACAAGAGGTACAAGACACGTCTGGGGCATAATGAACCAAAACTTCCTGGGCTTGAACGTTACAATGGAGAGCAGTTGTTTTTTCTCTCATTTGCCAATGTGAGTATTCATTACAATATAGGGACTCTCGTGAAAAAGAACAAACCCTTTCTATGTTTAATAATTAATGGAATTAAAATAAATAATATTAATCAATTAATTTACTAAATGAAAATTAATTAACTAAGATTAATTGGTTAAATTAAAATTAATTACGTTTTCCAGTGAACAGAATACAAAACAATGATTGTATTCAAAGAGTAAATGTAGATAATTTGTAAAACATTGCTACAGGTAGATTGAAGACACCAGACCTCAGAGCTATTTATTTAATTTTACATACAACTTCACTTTAATTTAATTTTTTTTTTTTTGCTTCTAAAATAAAAGTTTGCAAATTTAGTATTGAACTACTTCCTTTTAAATCCATTTTTTGAGCCCAATTAACACTACACTGCCAGTTTTTCACAAAAGAACCATAATTATTAGTAAAAACAAATTTAAGAAGCTAACGATAGAAATGCCTCAAGGCAACCAGATATATGAATTTGTATCTGGAGAGTATATTGACAACCTGAAAGCTAGTTAGTTTAACATCAATGATAGTGCCCTGATTTTCATGTATCAGTAGGCTCAAAGTGATATAGACAATCATAGATATTACTAATGAGGTGCAGAGGGGGGCAGGCTCCTTAAAACGGCTCTCTCTCCCCCAGAGAGAAAGAAGAAAAAAAATGCTGTAATTATTTTATTTTGCTAACAATTAATTTTCTCTTTTGGTTTGTTAATTTTGAACATTTGAGGATGTAATATCTATCAGCAACATATTTTTGGCGTTGTTGGTAAATATAAAATTCATTTAAATTGTAATAGTTCATCAATTTGTAAAGAAGGAAATGAAGTGCATAGTATGTTGCTCCAGTTATATTTTTGTTACTTATTTTATTGCTTTGCCAGGGGCTTTAACTAAAAGAACACCCCAAAAAAGTAGCAAATACAAACCCAGGTAATTTCTTAGTGTTGAGTCAACTTTTTGGCCACATTTGATAGCAATGTTTTAAGCTGTTTGGAGCAACATGCTGCTTATTGCTCTCTGAAAGTCTACATTACAATCTTAAAGTCAGTCTACACAAGAAAATTAAGGTTTTTATTGGTAGGAAATTATCACACAAATTGAAAACGATTTCAACATTTTTTTTTATTCAAGACTAGTAAATTTAAACAAATTTTAAGAAAAATGCATCTAAAAAGAAAATTATGTCTTAAAAGGCATTTAAGTTAAAAGAGGCAAAATAAAACTTTAAAAAAATGTCTTATTTTTCATAATTCGTAGAGATCTATCAACAACCATAAATATTTTCATTCGAATTTTATAGACATTTTCCTCAACTTCTAAAGACAAATGATCACCTATCCACAAATCCATGAATTCTGAATCCATGGAGGACATAACTACATACTTAAAAAATATCAATCTACAACTAAATATAATTAAGTCAATTTTGATAAATTTTCAACTCTCTCATAGCAGTGCACAATCTCAATGTCCTTATTGGGAATGAATCAGTCCAAAAAATATTGTGCCATAAATTTCGTGAGGTATACTTTGAAAATAACTTATCCTTTAGGCTAATAAACATGTAGATTTGTTGCACATCCTACACTCAAATATTTTCTTACTGAGATATTTTTCTAAATACCTCAGATCGGCAGTGCCAAAAACTTCATATTATGGTCTAATTTATTCACATTTGTAGTATGGAATTGAAATTTGGGGAAGAATTTAACAGATGAACATGAACAGGCTGATGGAGGCACAAAAGAAAAACATAAGCTGTATTTTGAAACTTAAATCAACAGTCTTGTGTAGAAAACACAAAATGTTGACAATTATAGCACTTTGTGCAAACAAGGTGCTTACGCTTCCTGTAACGATAGAAAACTAACATCTCACACTGATAAGGATTTCTGATAATATAATACACAAGGGAGGAATATTTATCGTAGGATGTGTACTGGTAAAGCTGTTATAGCCAAAGTTCTTGTAGCATTGGCCTATAATAAACTTCCACTTCACATCAGAAAATTAAGTGGAACTCTATTGAAAAAGGCATTAAAAGATTTCGTAATTGCAAAACGCTCTTGCAGTCTCAAAGAACTGTTATAAGTATGTGAAATCATTATACCTGTATTTTAACTTTTATACTTAACTATACGTGTTATATTGTATTAAAATATCTATTGACGTGACATTGCTCGCTCTGAATCAACTTCAGGTAAATAAACTCTTCAAGACACAAACAGAAACTAATGCTTATATTTATAACATGCGTGTGCCTTGGCATTAACACTGCCAAGATGCCCATGCGTAGTGACTGCATGTGAGTGATTGATTGTTTTGTCGCAGGTGTGGTGCGAGAAGTGGACCAAGCAGTCCCTGCGCAACGACCTTCTCGATGAGCACTCGCCCAGCCAGATTCGAGTGCCGGGCGTGCTGGTCAACTCACCGGAGTTCTCTCAAGTCTGGAAATGCCCTGTGGGCTCCCATATGAACCCGAAGCGTGACCGATGCATGATATGGTGATGATCACTTAAATCCCTGGGCTGGGAAAATTGGGTCCCTGAGTTTTTGACAATTTTCTAATATGTATATGCAATTAACCATTTGAATGGTTCCAGTGGAAATTTTGTGGAATTCCATGATTTAGAAAGTATGGAGCAAGAAATAATCTTTCACAGTATAGGTATGAATTCTTGGATTTTAAATTGCATAAATACAGGATAGTTAATCAAAGAAAATTATATATTCAATCAGAAAAATAGGAGCAAAATCAAAATGATTCTTCCTTACAAACTGAACCTGAAAGTTATTTTAACATATTTTATTTATTTTAAAAACTATAATGGCTTTGTTTGAATCATAGAATGCAAAGTAATTGGAGTTATTGAATGACGGAAAGCTTTGAGTCATAATAGTAGTTAATGAAACTGAAATACTGATACTTACAACTTTTCCTATGTAATGAATTCGGTAGAGTGTGGGTTAGTTAACAGTCTTTTTAAAGCACGTATGTTTGAAAATAATTTGCTGAGCACTAAATTTTGAATCAAAGTATAACTAGTAATAAGCTTGGTTAATGAAATTCACAATAACCAGAAATAATCTACATTACACGAATTCTCAGATAAAATTTATTTAATAATTAGTTGTTTTTTGAGAAATGACAAAAAATGAAGATTTCAGAAACAGAAATTTTAGGAATATTAATAATTTTGCAACTAGTGTTTGGATTAAAGAGCATATTTTCATACACAGTAGAACACCATACAATTACCATTGATGGATTCAGGAAAAAATTAATCATTGCAAATGGTCTTTTAAAAGTTTCTCCATGTAAAATAAAAGTTTCAAAATTGATCATATGAACATTGAAACAGGTTTGTACTCAATGCAAGTGTTCATAAATAATTTTTAACACTTTGAGAATCAAAATATGAATAAGGTACTAAAGACATATAGAGTGTGATCTATATGTCATTTGCTCTCAAAAAGAAAACATTCTTGTTTTTTAATTCTCAGTACCCTGCCACCTTGTTGGAAAGGCAATTCAAAGCATTGGATGATTTGGAAGCTCAGTGGTTAAAGCAACTGTGAGTAATACAAAAGACCTGGGTTTCATTCCTGATCAGAGTCACTATTGCTTTAAACAATGTAAATTCTGTTTTTTTATTAATACATTTTTAATGCACTGACTAAAATAGTTTTTAACTTTAGAACTGAATTAACTCTAATACTTTTTGCATTGGTTGCAGACAGAGATTGCAAAACTAAATTGCTAAATACAGGCTTAAATTCACTGCTGAGTAATAAGATTGTTGTGGATCTATTTTCGGGCTGAGCCAAACTTATCTTTTATTTTGACTAGATTCTCACAAAATAATAGTGAATGACAGTGTAAATTTTTTAAAACAACAACAGAAAAGTAAAGTTTTAATAAAAAAATAATTATATGGACACTGTTACATTTTAGTCAGCATCAAGTTGTGCTTTTTGTAAAGAATGGTTAGAGATGAATTTTGAAAAACATTCAGTGTGTCATATCCACAGTTCAATCCATTGCACAAATTTTGGTGCAATACCGCAAAAATGTATCTTTCTATAAAATACAATATTCCACATTCAGTACACAAGACTGAGAGGATCGTAGATGTAATTGTCTGGGGATCGAAGGGAGAATTGTAGATATCTGGGTGAAGAAAATGATGTAATAGAAATTTTAAAAAAATGGATTCATGGGCATTAAAGATTGTTCAAAAAACATTTGAACACAGAAAGAGTGGTGATAGGAGTTACAATGTACTTCTAATTATTTTACTTGCTAACTCAAATTCATTTCTAATTTTTTTCAAAAACTCAGGTACTCACAAACTCTATGGCTCCTAGACTCAGAACCGGGAAACCTATAAGACAGCTCTGAATGTCACGATAGTCTGCGGTTTACCATACTGCAGACGCAGTTGGCAAACAATATTAGTGTATACCAGATGGTTTTTCCATCAGAATTCAATAATGGTAGCTGCAAGTTGTACAATGTGCCCAGGTCATGTGCCTTTATTTATGAATGTGCTTGAATACAATTGGACATTCTTCACTGATTTATGTAATGAAGCTGGCAGTCCAATGTCTTCAAACACTTTCACATTTTCTGAAAAACCTGGGATGTTTTAATTCCAACTGTCTGTTGAGAGCATTTCTCTATGTGCTTTGTTTCTATTTTTATGTTGGTATGAACAGGATATCAGAATGATATGCTTTCAATATCTTTTTCTTATGTAGGCAAGTCCTTTTAAGTTTCCATGTTAGAATTAGTGTACTGTTATAAAACTGGGAAGTTCTGTCGAATGTTATAAGTTTCAGTCTCAAGAAATATCAAAAAGTACCTTGAAGTTAATCTTCATTTACATTTCACAAATAAATTTCAAAAATTTTTGATTGGCTGTTCGGCCGACATCGGTTAGTTGGCTTTGGAAATGTTCTGCTTGCTGATCTGTGATTATTGTAGGATTGGTCTCTTATTTTGGCGCCCTAAAGAAAAGATTTCTAATATGACCTGTAGTCTGAAAAAATATTTATAGAAAATTTTCTATTTAGGTACTTATTATATATATTTTTGTAAATATCTCATACTTTATACAATATACAAGTAAAATCAACATTTCTATAGCATTTTTTGCAAAATACAATCCTATTGACTAGTAACCAAGTTCCTGAAATCATTGACAATAATGATTAATGTATTTTCATGCATGTACAGGTTTTCTTTTAGAAATGTTAAAAGACTTATGTGTGTTCCTTGTTAAACAAGCTAATGAGTTTCTAGCTAACGTGATAGGAGATGATAATCTAATATTTTCCTCAAATCGAGAGAGTGGCATTGTGAAATTAGTCTTCTTTGTAAGCTGTGATAGAAATGAAAATATAGTACTGATTCCACTTGAATCTCTTTGCTATAAATACATTACTATATGCTTCCCGTAATAAATTCCTGTTAAAATGTTTCTTAATTGTAATCTGTGATAGTAATTAAAATATAGGTACTTTTCTATCTTGAACCTCTTTGCTATAAATACACTGCTATAAATTTTCCATTAAAAATCAAAGCACACATAAGTAAGATGTAATTGCCGTCCATTTCTTTTCCATTGTTATAAACTGACTTGTTCATAAAATTGGTTGTTTATTGATAAAGTTCACTACACAAGTCTACAATTCTGAGTTATATCAGAAAATGCCATCTTGCAAGCTCTCTAGTAACAAAGTGAACTTTTCTCTTAAATGTCATTGTGTCTTTAAAATTATAGGCTTCAATTTAATCACTTTTTTAACACTGAAATATACTAAGAGTATATTATTTGAGATACGAGTTTTGTTTTAAATTATGAAAACATCTATACTGGCTGACTTCAGTATCCAAATTCAGTAAAAAAGTGAAAATGAATAAAACTACTTTCTTGTAATACAAACATTTGCATTGTTATAATCCATGTATCAATAGCCAACATTTTCAGCTGAATTTTTTTCTTTTTTTTCTTCACTGTCAGTCACACTGTAATTTTATAGCAGTCCACAGTATGATTATTCTATGTACTTACATTTGACATTGTCAAAATACAGATGTAAATAAAACTTCGTAACCTGTTATTTTAGAATTATATTTACTGTAATTAGATACATGGGAATCTCTGCCATGAAAAATTTGAGGGATATCAAAAGAAATGTTTACATCCATGGAATTTTAGTTCAACCTGCAACTAAGTTTCAATGATTTACTGAAGATAACAAGGTGCTCATGGTAGATTAAAAAAGGTGAAGTTACATTGCGTTAAACATGAATTCAATTATATCAAGTACACTCTGAGGGTAAACTTGAAAAACTATGCTATGGAAACAATAACAGCAGTTGTTGAAAAAGTAGTTATAGGAAGTGATGCCTTACATCAGCCAGTTTAGGAGTATCTTCATTATAATTATTCCGTTTTCATTTATTTTTAATTTTTTGACTAATAAAGGTACAGAATCATTTTGTGTGCACAATGTTATTGTTTCATGGTGTGGATGCTAGATAACACTATATTTTAATATTGTTATGTGTTAATCCGAGTGACATTAGTAAAAATATTAAATTTGAATAAAAAACTGTCTGGATGTACTTTGAAATACTTGAGAAAGACAAGGGTCCCTTGTCCCCCATGCCAGAGAAGCCCATCATTAGAGGGACCTCAGAGTTCTTACCAGCACCCTCTAATTATGATTTTGATTGCATTATTGTATTGAAACCATTATGCAAACTATTTGAAGAACTGGAGAATGTTTTGTTGATGTATTTTTAAGTAATTTAGTAACATAAGGATAGGATTTATATCGTGTGATAATGTACCAAAGGTTTTAATGTTATCACTTCCAAAAAATTAAATTTTGTAGACTACAATTTTGTTATTTTATTACAATGAAAATGTTTCCTTTCTTTGACATAAGAGATACTATTTCATCAAAAAAGATATTTTTTGCATTCCAGTTTTGTCATACAGGTCTGCCTACATATCACTAAAATCATAATGAAAAGAAGAGAAAGTGTGGACACTTTGTATGGTTTTCCTTACTGTTGATTGTACAGCTACAGATGGAATCCACCTCCATACATAGTAGGGGAAGTTACAGATGCTGCAGAAAATACATGTTAAGATTTAAACCGAAATACACGTTTTGAGGTCCCCTGATACTGAAAGAGTGCTTTCTTTGTTTTATTTTGTTTTTCTCTAAAATGTCCGTCTGTCATGAAGCCTTTGGAACAATCTCAAAAAAGTCTCCAATTTTTTTCCCCTAAAATGAAATACATTAATAAAGATGACACAGGTCCATTTTCCATTGTTATATCTGAATGTTTGACAATTGCAAGTTTAAAATTTGTGGAACTTCCTTGTAACACTACATTTTAGAAACTAGAAATCTTTTTCTTCAAATGAAATTTTTTCTCTAAAATTAGTTCTTTATACAACATCATGTATATTTTTCTTTTGGATATTAGGAAATAGTTTTATGTAATTTTAAATGAAATAAGTGCCATCTTAAAAACAAGATTTTCTCAGAAATAGACCCAAATTTTATCTTTAAACTTTTTGTGGCAATTTTATAACTGAATAACAATTTTAGAAAATTCTGATATATTCTTTTGATTTTTCAAGAAATACACAAAGGTTTTTTAAAAAAATATATCACACATTGTTCATTTTTACAATACAGATGTTTTTGATACTTTGTAGTATTTGTGAGTACAAGTGCTTCAAATGATATCTTCGTCTTTTTCGTTTAAAAAAAAAAAAAAGAAATTCTCCTAGATACTAGTACTTTATGCCTACAAAATTTCATCCTTGGTTATTGGAAGGATTCAGAACTACGAGCAATTACATTGCAAAATTTGTGATAAAAAGTTGTTTATATTTGACAAAATAATTTTTGTACTGTAATACCTGCAATGTCTTCCTAGGCTTTGTTTAATGACTTCAATCTTCCTGTTTATATTTTGTTAAAGTAGCATCAATCACAGACTGACGCTATTTTTAAAAACTTACCATATTTGAGCTCTCTGAACATCAAGCACACTACAGAAAATGACATGGTTTTAACACCAAACTGTAGCTCTATGCATTTAAAATATTTTAACAAATATTGATTCAAATGTAGTTTCAATTAATTTTCTAGATTAACAAAAGGTATGCAATATTCTAATTAAATAACTACATATCAGCATTTAAAATAATGTTTTTAATTCAGCTAAAATGAAAAATTCTGTGTAGGAAAAACATCAGCTATACATCTACACCCCTCCTCCCCAGCTATAATCCTGATTGCACCTCTAGTAAATTCAAATCATAAATTCAAGAAAATAATTTTAGTACTAATTAACATTCAAAATATTCAGATAATTTTCAAAGTATTTACACTGGAGAAATTAAGTTTCGTAAAGCTCAAAAAAGTGTCGTCATAAATACCTATAGCCTTTCAAGGAGTTTTTGATACAAATAAATTTAAATGAAAATGAGTATTTGAATAAAAAAACAATTATTTAGCTTCCCTGAAATTTTGTGACAAATTAATATGATTTCCTTTATCCAAAATGTCAGCGTTTTACCATCATTTAAAAATAGGCAAACTACACAAGTACAAATTATTCAACATGAATAAATCAATTCTGACATCACATTTACAAACAAGTCATATAGATGTAAGAATCACAAAACAGAAATAATTCATAAAATGCGCCCAAAATATATTTCAGCAAAGCAGCTTCAAAAATAAATAACATTTAAATTAATAATATCAATGCAATTACCAGAAATATTTGGAAAATAGTAGTAAGAATAAAGTAATTTTTAGCTTTTATGCAAACATTAATAAAATTTTTCTTATTTACTCAAATCTAACACAAATAACACTTCTTATCATCATGGAGGATTGTCATTCATTTGAATGAACTAGCAACTAGAAAAGGCATAAATGAAAATGTAAACATTGCTACAACTACAAATCATAGTAAAGAGAAATGTTAACCAAAGACCTGATTTTCCGTCTTTCAGCACTCATTAGAGAGCACAAAATCAATAAATTCTAAGCAAAACACTCTTACAAGTGTTGCAAATAGTACCTAATTAACTTTAATTTCTCAAATCACACATTGAGAGAGCAGGAGAAATGTTTGATCAATGACAGTCCCACAGCATATTTTTTTAACATGGATAAATTATAATACTACTTTGAGTTCTCCAAAGCTCACCTTGTTTGCTTGCCTTCTCAAATATGATAAGTCTTCAATGACATTAAGAGGCCAAAGAGAAAAACATAGGAAGGTATCCTTCCATAATATCTGCAAAACCAATACAAAAGGCAAAGGTATTCATAAACAAACATTTACATCCATATACTTTTACATCCACATTCATATATTCATGAAGACAAGATTTATAATTATTCATTAAATCCAACAATAAATTTTTCATACAGAAAATTGAGAGACCATACACAAGGAACTTGGTTATACACACAGAAACGGTAATATAATGATCTGGAAATAATTCGTAAAATCAAAAACGTTTTGTGTTTTCGGCGGAAATTATGTTGTCAACAGGTGTCGCTTTACGCATTGAACAGTCGAGAATATTTTCGTATTCTTTTGTTTCTTGAAACACCAATCACGAG